TTTTTATCGTTTACTCGGTTTTCCTTGGTCTTTTCACGTGTGTTATGAATAAATTTTCTTTTTTTCGGTACTAGTTTTATTTTGTTGTATTTATCCGCGACACCTTAAAGGCCGGTCCGTGAAAATATTGTGGGGCATAAACCGGTCCGTGGCGCAAAAGAGGTTGGGGACCGCTGGCTTAACAGACGGCTAGTGTGGCTATCAGCTAATTGCTAATAGTTAAACAGCTAACATTAACGTATGTGGGGCGTAATTTCCATGGGGGGTTATGTTCAGCACAAAGTTACGCCGATGCTGCCAGGCTAACATTTATGATAACTGTTTATTATCAAAGTGCTGTTGAGATCTGCCGTGTGCCTATCTGGCTGCAGCACTGCTGTGTGAAGTTGTGCGTCAACTGGAGCAGTCAAAGATGGCATCTATGGTATAGAAACTGTTAGATAGAGACAGACTATCTAATATGAGCTTAATTTTTAGTAGTGTTATTACTGTTTTAGTATTTGAGCATTTAATTTTTTGCAACCCTAGCAGGTTATGAGCTTTACTAGTTATCAGCTAGGCACTCGCTTATCTCCACTTTAGGTTCTTATGACAAACCATCATAAGGTCCTTTTGTTTTCACCTGCTCTCCTAAATATACTCATATATTTTTGCATATAGATCAAGTTTATGTGAGAGAACACATTAAAATCTGAGCTTTTGGTTTTTTTTATGAGAGTCCTATAATTTCTTTACCTTCATTACATGGTCGATTCTCTTTAACACACTGAAGTTATACAGTAGGAGTATGTCTGGAAACACTCACAGATGTGAACATGTTGCTTCAACTTTACCGGCTCTCAATTAAATATTGAATGAACAGGACAGAAGAATATATTTGTCCCTGGATTAAAGTTTAAATTTGAACTTTTTTTGAAATGCTTTTCTTACTCTTTGTTACCCTTTCAGAGCTTCTCGGAGCAGCAAAGCGGGTGAACGTCAACATCCAGGATGCAGATGGGTGAGGGATCACAGATGTTTCACATCACCTCCTGTTCCAGCTGTTTACTCTATCATTACACCTCTTTCTTTATCACTCCATTTTCATTCCATCTTTTATAATAACCTATTTCTTTCTTCATGGCCCTGAAAACACTCACAACACTATCAACACAACTGAATCCTGAGATCTTTTCTTGTTTTCTCAGATTTTGAGGTAGTTGTTACTCAGCCATCGAGCCGCTCACTAAAATTCAAAGATCTAATACATCTTAATTTGCTCTTTAGTTTTATGAGCCTCACATGTAAAGATCCCGCATAATAACATGTAAAAAAACACCTTCAGATTTTGTCCCACTTGTTTTTACCATCCTGATTGTAGCATATGTGCCCCGTCTCCCTAACAGTTGGGCCAATCTGAAGGAAACTTAAAAAAAAAGACTTTTATTATAGATCCGCGTTTAGCAAAGACTGAAAATCTCCACAGGCTTGGCTGAAAATGAATTGAACGTGTACATGAACATTCATATACATAAAAAATGAGGAAAACCCAGAGATGCTCATCTTTTCCACACTCAGTCATAAATTGAAGACTGCTCTGATTCATTCGGGCTCCTTCATAAACCCCCATTTTGTCCGTGCTTAAACACAAGGCTTCCTGGTGACAGTCCATGATTATTTCCTCCTTTTCTATTTTTATACCTTACAATAGCTTCCAGTGGGTCAGTCTGGATCATGTGGTGGGCGACCTCTGGCCAGGAGATCTGTGCTGTAATTGAAATAATCATATGAATTAAATGAAACTGAAAAGCACTTTCTGTTAACTGATTTTGACTCACATCCAAACTAATGCAGAACCTGTGAGCTGGGGTCACAAATAGATCATTTTAAGAGCTCTGTTATAAAATGTCTCATACCTCGCTGATATTAAACATGAGACAGTTATCATGAGAAAAATAAACACCAAAGCCCGATGCTTGTGGGCTGTAGCTGATCCATGTTGTGAATATCTAATTAACTGTGGCAAACAAATAGGAAGAAAACTCTTCAAATAATCAATAGGCTAGCAAGCCGTTATTACTGTTCACATTATCTCCTGTTTAAATCTGTCTTTGGCTCATAGGAGTGTAGCCAGCTGAAGACCTCAGATCTGAAGACTGTAATTATCACCTTAAAGCAAAGCCAACATTTTCCAGCTCCTAATTTGCTCAGAAATATTCCCTTATCAGCTCTGAATGTTCAACTATGGATTTTGGCTATATTTAGCTTCATGATTGGTTAAGCTTTTTGTGTGCACATGCTTGGTTTACGGCTGTGTTCCGTTTGACTCCATCAGATAACAAAGATCTTTTTATGATGTTGATTGGATTCAGATAATTGGACTCAGCTTCTTGTGTAATGACTGATGAGTCGTTGATTTGACTCCAGGGCCCCGCTCTTATGTTCACCACAGATCCATTAGACCCACACACAGATGCCCTGCGCGTACGCTCGACTCCGGGGGAGAGAGATTGCTTATTAATGGAAGTAGGTCATTTCCACCCGCCCTCCCCGCACACGCTCCCATCGTCACACAGAGCTGTGGGGCGGAGCAGCTGTACGCCGAAGATTACTTTAGCAAAGTTGTGCTCAGGTTTTACACTATGCATTTGAATGTGTGTATTTTTATACATAATCTGTGTCTGTGTGAAGGCTGTCGCCGCTGCATCATGCTGCTCTGAGTGGCAACAAGGAGATGATCTCTCTGCTGTTGGAGGCCCAGGCAGCAGTGGATATCAAAGACCATAAAGGTAAAAAAAAAAAATGCACACAGGCTTTCACAGTGTCACTGGGATACGCTGTGCTGCTACAAAATAAGGCACAAAACACACACACGAACACACAAGGCTGTGCAGCAAAAGCCCAAAAACAAATACTTTCCGGCTTTCCCTGTGTGACAAATAATACCGGCTTATGTAATAAAAGGTGAGCTTGTTGGAAATGCAATTTATGTCTGTGGCGTGCATTTATGAGGAGCGACAGATTTGTTTGCACAGTCAACAATAGAAAACAGAAGAAGGAAAGCTCCATGGCTGCAGGAGTGAGAGCCAAGTGGGAAGCAGAGCAGAGAATATCTCGATCCTACGTTGGCAGATTCAAGAAGAAGGAGGAGAAGAAGAAATCTCAGGGCAGATGGGAGTTATAATCCCTCCAGGATGTAGGCCTACTGTGTCTGCACTTTCAGTCATGCCCAGTGTGCCTCTAAATAGACTTACCAGGCCTCTTTTGGTGAACCTACTGCTTTAATGGGTGTGATTTTGCAGAGGCACCAGGAAACAGCACATCTTCACCTTCTACGAGTAGGTGTTTGACTGTGTGCTTTATTAACAGAACATAGGAGGTGATTGTAGTCAGGGTAGTGGCCCAAAAAATACTAATAATGTTTCTGAGATTTAAGATTTGTCCAACCAGATGGAACCAGCCAACTTTGTCTTAAAGAGAACTGTTTCCGGTGTTAGGAAAACATACTTCTGCAAGATGCCAGCTTAAGTTGCCTCAACATCCTGAGGGCCTTTGCTTTGGAGCTGTATATCCTCCAGACAAACATCACAAAAAGGAAATGTGGAAAGTGGCTATGTGTTCAGCCAGAATAATCACAGGAACAAGTGAAGGGTATTTCCAAAGACAGAAAGTTGGAACATGTCCATCCCTTCATGCATTCATCCCTTTTCTTAAGTGCTTATCCGATTCAGGGTCACAGAGTGCTGGAGCGTATAGCTATTGGGCAAGAGGTGAGGTAAACAGTCTATCTGATATCGTGTTGATGTTGTTCCTGGATCAACATAATAATGTTTGTCTGCGATCAACATTGCATTGGAATAATCACTTTAGGATATCATAGCTTTGTGGCTTGGAAGACCCCTTACCAATGTCTGCTCTAGAGATGGACCGATCCGATATTAAGTATCGGTATCAGTCCGATACTGACGTAAATTCCTGGATCTGATATCGGAGAGAAATAAAAAACTTGCGACACGGCGTAACTCAGCTCATAACCGTAGCATGTCGGAGCAGTGTGGTCACGTGATAGAGCGGCTGTGTGTATTTGTAGTCTCGCTACCAAACCGGCATTTCTTCTCCGAGGAAGTTATCCCAGAGAGAAGTAAAGCAAGTGTGTAAGTTTATCTCTGAATGTTTGTAAAGCATTCCCGTGTTAAGCTTAACAACCGATATATGGAGCAACTGCCTCTCTCTCCCTCTCCTGCTGCTGCTTCAATCATGAAACTGATTAATGATCAGCTGATCGGCTTTTATGTGCGAGTCTGTCTCTCTTCTTTGTTTATCGCCCACTTCGCGCCAGAAAGAGAAAACCAGCGGCTGAACAACAGCAGCACGTTTAAGCTTGATAATCTTTTGTTAGAATTTATTTAATATTACTTTCTACACCAGGATCCTTTTCTGTGTAGCTGACGGCTGGTAACTGTGCAGGGGCGGATCTAGCAAAGTTTAGCCAGGGGGGCCGATAGGGCATGAACAGGGAAAAGGGGGCATAAAGACATACTTTTCTTCTTATTCTCATTTAAAATGTCGAGCTTTTAATAAATAATTATCTGAATCTTACACCCAAAGTTTTAATCTTATGTAAGATGTATAGAAGTCCATTACTGTATATAGTAACTATTAAGTCTAATATACCCTAGTAAGCTATAGTACTTCATCATCATGTGCAGTCTGCAATTCTGTAGAAGAAAGATGTTGAATCTATTTAATTATTTCTTGAAAAATAATTTATTTCTGTGCATTTTTTTTCACACTGCATCAAATTAAAGTCGATTACGTCGATTAAGCATCATTTGCTGGGAGTTTTAGAGCCCTATTAGTTAGGTTGCTTACTCTTTAAAATACCAGAATAGGGAGGATGGAGTAGGTTTAAGTTTATTAGATTGATCAGTATTGCTGAACTATGAAATATTTTGGGTGCAGGGTAGTTTTTGCATACAGGTATAACAGAATAGCTTTAATGTTTTTTTTTTAACCCTATGAACTGATACAAAAAGCAGCAAGATATTAAAAAAAAGTTTTATTGATTAAAAAAAACACTATATCGGATTCATATCGGTATTGGCAGATATCCAAATTTATGATATTGGTATCAGTATCGGACATAAAGAAGTGGTATCGTGCCATCTCTAGTCTGCTCAGGAAAAAATCCAAATCCAGAAGGGTTGGTGGGAGTTAGAGTTACAGTTTGCTATGTGGTGTGATGGTTTATTCTGCAAAACTGGGATATCATTTCCAATGTTGAACCTGGACCAACATTAGTTTTGTTGGTCCATGAACAACACCTAACACAACAATATCAGATGGTGTGAAGTACAGATACCAGTCCTGTTGATGAATTAAGGACTTTCCAACTGTCCCGCTCTCCAAGAGTAACTGCCTCCCATGACACTGACACGGCAAACCTTCCGGCACAACTACTGATGTTGTTAATTTAATTAACACCAAAGCAGCTGAAACTGATTAGCAACCCCGTCTCTACTTAACTGACCACATCAATATACCAGATGCTTTATTGATGTGATGCTACAGTATACGCTGACTGAAATTATCTTAAACAGTGTGTTATGTTTTCAGTGGGTGACATGTCTGGACTGCAGACCAGCCAGCTAAGAACCCAGAATCTGTGACTTTGGAGGTGCTCTGTTCCTGAAATAAGCAAGGCGTTTCCTGAGTAGTTTCATACCTTTTCCAAAACGTGCATATATTGTTTAGCAGTGGTGGTTCTCTCAGAAATTAAGACTTTAAAGAACGTAACCAGTGCTGGCTTTTAAGTTGCATGCATGGTCGCTCTTCTGTTTAGTGCAGAGGACACAGCGTCCATGATTTACAAAAAAATGTAACCTTTGGATTTGTTGAAGACCACACAGCGACAGAAGCATTTAAGAATCGTTCATTTTTTTCCCTTGAATACTCAGATTTTACCTTAACCGTGTGTTTCTGAGCCCATGCAGTCACAATCAGAATCTGTTATTAATGCATTGCTGCATGAGGCCCAAAGATCACAGCAATTTAAGATTGGCTTTTCAACCTTACCCCCTGAGTAAAGACATTCTTTAATATCGTTTAATGGTATTGTGTGCTGTGACCGATTCACTTCTTTTTTGGTGCATGTAATTAACCTAAAAAAATAAATAAATATGAGCCCCTACTTGATGTTTTTAGGTTAGTCTTATCAAAACATTATTAACGGTTAAAATGAGAAAACACTGCCGCCTTCCAAATACAGCGCTATTAATAAAATACGCCTGATGCTGCACGTCAGTCACAGTTTCTCAACAAGACAGGATTATACTCATTTCTTTTAGGACTTTTGAAAAAATGGCCTCTGAACTGATTCGTGTACGTCGAGCATTTCCTCTGATTTCTCAGTGTTGCTCTTATTCCTGCGCAGTCCGCTCTTCTCGTGCCCAATCACACTTTCGAGAAGATCTTTGAGACCGTGTGATAGTAATTTGGCCTGAAATCTCTAAGCTTTAGATTCTGTAACTCCTGCAGCTGCTGTGCCTCTTTATCCTGCCAGCACCTATCCTCTGACTCAGGCGTCTCTCATGCCAGCTGAGGCTGGAGGGGCCTTTTTATTCAGCTCAATGGTGTGGCTCATCTCTAGTGTCAAGACTGGAGGTCTTGGTTTGCTGCCATGAGAAACACGCTCACTGCTTCTCGAAGCCACCGCTGCAAAGTGGTATTAGATGTCTTCTGGTTAAAGGCAGCGATAAGGAGTCCGCACTGATGTTTTGCACAGCAAAACTTGGCATCACCTTGTATGCTGTGCATGGCTCTGGGAGTCGCTGTGCAGTTCCCTCCGAGGGTTTCTTGGGGCCATAGAAAGAAAGGGGTTGGACTTCTCTTGCCCTTTGTGTTCAAAGTGTTTGTCTCAAACATCCCATGATGCCCTATTTGGGCTGTTACCTTGTGACTTTGTCCACCAATAGTTTTTTCAATTGCTTTGCTGGTTGTTTAGTGAATACACTCTCTGTCGAGTCTCATAGCATGCAGGCCCAACACGTTTTGTTAAAGAGAAACTGGAACCAATGTATTTTCCTTTAAATATAACATTTGTTTTAATTAGCTTCAATTAATTACTGTTGTAGTACATCTGGTTAATTTTCTTTCAATGCAATAATTGTTTAAGCTCTCCTAATCTCTCAGACTAACAGGCCACACAGAGGGAATTAACCATGAGAACATTTGTTAACAAGTAAATTTAGTGATTTCTCTGTAAAATCAGCACCAGATAGATTTCTGTCTGCTTGGTATCTAATGCCAAACTAACCTAAACTAACAAAAAATTTGTATTTGCTTGCACTCATGTGTCTTTACATTCTCATTTTTTTGTACGTGCCTGTGTGCATGTGGTTGTGGGTTGTGTTGTGTGTCTGTTTTATTGTGCCGTCATGTTGGCTGTGTATGTTTGTGTCCTTGTTTGTGTGTGTTTTGTGTAGGAATGCGTCCCCTGCATTATGCTGCATGGCAGGGGAAGACTGAGCCTATGAAAATGCTGCTGAAGGCAGGCTCGTCAGTCAACGGACAGTCAGATGAAGGACAGATCCCGCTCCACCTGTCAGCTCAGCATGGACACTATGATGGGGTAACTGTTTGTGTGTGTGTGTGTGTGTGTGTGTGTGTGTGTGTGTGTGTGTGTGTGTGTGTGTGTGTGTTTGTGTGTGTGTGCACTGTAGGTGCTTTACTGTGCACAGAGCCAGTGTTTGTGTTATGTGAGATCTGTGTAGTTGTTATGTGGGCTTGATGCTGTGTGCCTGATACGTGGTTGTTGCAAGCTCAGCTTTAAATGTGTTGGTAACATTTGTTTGTTTGTGTGCGTCTGTGTGTTACAGTCGGAGATGTTGCTGCAGCACCAGTCCAACCCGTGCATCTCAGACACAGCTGGGAAAACTCCACTGGACCTCGCTTGTGAATTTGGACGTGTTGGAGTGAGTACAACAATAACTACAACTGGGTTCAAAACAGAAGATTTTTTTTTTACCCTATCAACAATATGTTTTACCTAAAAATGATAAATGATGAAGATGGATGTAACATCACCATCACCCATTGGTTTTGGACTCCACATTTTAAAGCTTCACATTAAATTTTTGCTGCCACCATCTTGTTTTTTCTTTAAGCCAGAAGTTATCTTGGCCACTAACCAGGTGACGTTAACTTGCCTGTTATTTTGGATGTGTGAAACCAACTGAAAACCAGTGATTGTGAGGGAAGAATGAGTATTGCCCAACTGGGTTTGACTGGGTTCGAGGTTGATAGCAGCTGCTGGGAAAATGATTTCTAAAGCCGCAGTTACTCAGGCCTAAAGACAATTTAGTGAGCCCCAATAGCTACCTCCTATTGGTAGGAAAAAAGCATGTCTTCCCCAACTGGTGTACAAAAACCTATTTGTGATTGCTTTGGTTGCTAAAATGTTGTTGCGTTGGTAATTTGTGACGAATAGGTGACGAACTTGTCTATAAACACCAGCCAGCCGCTCTCCGAGCTGTAAAGAATCTGTGAAAATTGTCACACAGACCAAAAGCAGACACCCTTTAAAATGTTGGCTGTATTCCTCAGGCACAACTTTTACTGTTAAGGCAAGTCTTCCTCATTTACAGTTTGCGTTGCTTGTAGCTAGCAAGTATTTTCATACAAAAATGAAGAACTACAGGCAACTGTGGCAATCTGCTAGCAACCAAAGTAATCACAAAGAGGTATTTAGTTAATTCGCTATCAACCAGTGGATGTATCATGTCCAGTTTGGCGGACAATTCTTGAACAATGTCCTTTTGATGTCACATGAAAAACCAAAGTAAATTATTGCAACTGTTAGCATGCTAACATGCTAAACAGATCACATCAACTCACTTGCATGTTAAGATTTGCTTAGTAATAGACCCTGTGCACGAGAAAATGCTAACTTCCTGGTTTGAGACCGGATGTGGGGTTGTACATTTCCGGTAGCTTTATTAAAATCATGTCCAAAACTCGAAAACGGAAAGATCGCGTTAAGTTACAAAGAGGAGAAGGTGGGAACACTCACCACTGTTGTGTCATAAAAAATCTAATGATCAATTTTGATGTTTAAAGAGTTTAGATCAATGACTTGTTTACATCACTCAACACAAGCAGAGTGATGCAAGCAGGCAAATTCAGAAGCACATCTCTGTATAGTGACTGGTCTTATGATTTAAACAGGCAAATGTTCAGCATTCAAACTACAGGTGAAAAATAGTCAAACCAGATGTTTCCCCGTTATGTCGATATCAGCTAGTCAAGTACACACCTACACAGCATGTTAACAAACCGTGAAAAAAGCCACAAAAAATGACTGATTGCTGGTAAGGGTCTCTATACATTAGTATTTACGAAGGGTATGTTGTGACTTACCTTCAAAATTACAGCGGTCCCTCGCTAATAACGTGGTTCACCTTTCACCTCGCTGTTTCACAGATCTTTTTTAGTGCAAGTTTGCACGTTTTTTTACGTCACATTGCGTCCTGCGTCCTGATCACTGCAGACGATCTTCTCCGTGACGTCTCTCCTGTACAGTACAGAATCGCTGCATCGATTGCTAGCAGTGTGACTCTGAAGTGCAGTGCTGTATGTCCACGATGTCCACCAAACATTTTGCACCGTCAAAAAATAAAATTGGCTATTTGATTTCACCTATCGCTGGTTATTTTTAGAACATAACACCCGTCGACAAGTCGATGAACATCATTTACAGATATATTGGGTAAATGCCCAAGACATCTAGAGAAATGTAAATCGCCGCTTGATTCATTCATTTGCTTAACTTGTTTTGGACCGTAAACAGGGCGTGAATAGGACACCGGAAACAAAGCTCCCCACAGGAGTTTCCGCACCGGAAGTAGCATATGCTAACGTGCACATAGTCAATATTAAATACTTAAGTACAGCTAAAGATAATGGGAATGTCATTAGCTTAGCTTTTAGCTTGTTAGCATTAGCATTAGTTTTTAGACATTAATCAAAGTATGAGACAAACTCAAATTTTGATCCAATGATGGGGTAAGAAGAAAAGTTAGATATTATCAAAAGTACCAAATTTGCCATATTTTGACTGAGAGACTCTATACCTAAATGTTTATTTTAGAGTTTCCTGGTAAAGATAAGCAATGGTGACATCCATTTAATTTTAAAATTATAGGCAAAATGTTCACCTAAAAGGTTAATTATTCCAGAAACAGATTAATTATACAACAACACAGCCTAAAAATGTCTAAAATCCTTAAAATGAACAAGAACAATGGTCTTACTGAGACAGCCACATGTGGACACAGAGGTAATTCAAGACACTAGCAGCCAAAGTGTGCACCTGTGTTGCTGCTAGTCCACAGAGAAACCAGATTTTAGTTTTAAATTCACTTTTACACAGAAGGAATTATAGAGTTAATATAAATCATGAAATGGCTTTACAAGTTACACTGTGTGTCTTTGTGTTTAGGTGGTCCAGCTCCTGCTCAGCAGTAACATGTGTGCAGCCATGCTGGAACCAAAACCCTCCGACCCCAACGGAGTGTCACCTTTGCATCTGGCTGCCAAGAACGGACACATCGAAGTGATACGGTCCAAATAACTACTCCTTTCTGTCTGCTCTGTGTTTATTATACCTCCTTCATTAGACACTTAGTCATTCTGTCTCTCCACCGACTGATCTAATTTAACGTTAAAGGATAATGCCGGTTCATTTCAACCTGGCATATTTCCCATTAACAAGGCTAACGTGTTTCTATGGGTCATGCAGGGTTTCCACTATCCACCTTGATTGTAGAGATTTGTAGAATTGAGGTGTGGACAACATACATTAGAGAAACTGGGCCAAGTCCTCTGAAGCATCCCAACAACAATGAATTATATTAAACAGTTCTTTCAAGTCTTTATTTCTATTCATTATTTTTTCTATTTATTATTTTTTTAACAGGCAAAAACATTACATGCATAGGCCTTGTTCACATCACATAAAACTATATATACAAGTGAAAGATTACAGATATACAGCAAAACACAAGTTTAAAAAAAGAAAAGAAAAATATGGTGAATTCATGAGTTGGGGTCTTTACTATAAAGTCAATTAAACATACCCAGGTTTCTTCTTCTATGTGGCTTCACTTACCTATGTATTGGCAATCAGGCTAGGCTGTCACCAAAGATAATTTTCAACTCGATAATTAAATCCAGGATTTACAAATCTAGCACATTCACATAAAGGATACAGTTTAGGCAACATATGGCACATCACAAACTTCTGCATCTTTTAAAAATGAAGAAAAATTACAGTATTTGAAAAATAAAAAGTGGTTTTATATATACAGCACAGAGATAACAATGAGCCTTTACATGACACAAAAGCCTACCACTAAAGAATGGCCCACTTGAGCTTTCTTGCCAACGTCCACTTCCTGTTTAACTTACATATATAGTCACATATTTTTCTATGCCTTAATAAATGACCAACTAGTCAAACAGTTACAGGAAAAAGTGATGCCTATGTCCAATAACCATGTAGTAGCAAAGGGTTGTACAAAAGGTGTGGCTGTTTTCCTACATGAGTGGATGCAGGCCTATGGTATGGAGGGTAGGGGTAAAAATGGGTCAGAATGTTTTTTTATGAGGTCAACAAGTACGAAGCTTAGGTGACGTGTATTAGGATCTTATAGTATCACTACATCAAGGCTTCTTTTGATGTAGATTCTGCCTGCAAGACGTGAACCTTCAAAACTGAAAACAAAAACAGGTTTAAACCTGAAGTTGCCTGGAAAAAAAGGCCCCAGTCTTCCTTTGTAGCACAGGCCACTGTAACAGCCATTTCTCAAACCGTAATCTTCTGGCATTTCCCCTGATCCTTATCTGGGGCAAATAGCCCTAGCTGGGTTTCGAAAGACATTATTGATCCTAGGTAAGAGAGTGTAAAGGTCTGATGCTATGTGGATTGGGCAGCAGTCTGGAACAGAGATCCGATCCAATTCCTGGTTGCTAAAACTGGTTCTTGGGTAATAGGACTACTGTCAGGCTCACCTACATGTATGACTCCGGTTCTGCAGCCAGTCTCCTGGGAAGGAGTTGGATGTTGTTCCCCTCTGGAGATGCTCTCAGTGAGAGACCCTGCATGTTTGGTGGATGACAGGATATCTGACTGTTGTGTGGACTTATACGTCAAATATTAGGCCCAGGTGCCTTTTAGTCTTTGAGTCTTCATTCTCTTACTGAGAAGTTTTAACATTCACTGGGACATAAGCATATTAATAAGTGGGCTTTGCACCAAAATACCCTAGCCCACATGTCAACGGCCAACGTGACTTGGACATCTGACAAAGTCCCAGTACACCCAGGAAAGGACTTTACCAAACACTAGAACTTGGTGAAGGATCGTCAAATCCTACCTATGGCAGAATTTGGACACCATTCAGAAGGAGGCAGAGGACACCGAGTCTGACTTAATCATGCTCTGCACCTACATGGAGCTACAGACGTAAGGTGGCTGCTGCCTGTCATTGGGGCCTTGCGGGAGATTTTCATTCAAACTCATGTCATCTGCAGTATTGGGGACACTGTAGCGCTCTGTTCTGATAAAGAGAGCTGGCTGGTTGGAGCGAGGTCTGGACATCTCTGTCTAGAATGCTGCTCCTGTGACCTGGACATATATAAACAGCAGAAAATAGACAGATGGATCAATAGATGGTTCTGGTGAACTGTGTTAGTGACAAGTTGCTGGCTGACCTAATTGTGAGCATTTTTGAACGTTTTCCTCCTCAATTGGCAGTATAGGACAGAACATGGCAACACCATCAGTTTCCTGAGCCCAACGCTATAGCAGGCCAGTGATTTTTTTCTCTCTATGCCTTTTCTTCAATCTTCAGTTTCTTGCCTTCACTACTACACAGTGAGCGTGTGTTTATGGCACAAAAGATTTACACAAATTAGCTTTCTTGCCAAAGTCCACTTCCTCTTTAACCCTCTATAAACAAATCTTTTCCTGCAATTTGTTGAATAACCAACCAAACAAACATTTACAGGGTAAAATTCAACTGCCTATGTTAGATAACCGCGCAAAGGGTTGGCCTGTGCAAAAGGTGCTTTCCTTTTACATTGTGGGTTTTAGTTACACTAGAAACATATTTTCTTTGTTTCCCTCTTCCTGTGGAAGCCTGGCAACAGCTGTCAGTCAAACACAGAGACCCCATTCACTCAAACTGGCAGCTCTTAACACAAACACTATGAAAAATACATCTGAGAAAAAGACTGAAAAACTGGTTAATCCAAATATCATTTTGGGGAATTTATTTCCACTTTTATTGAGTTGCATGAATGTAGATGCTTTTCTTTCATTTCTTACTTTAGAGCAGTCATAAAAAGTTATCTTGAAATATTTATTATTTTTCGCTGCAGGTTGCTGATTCAGGCTGGAATAGATATCAACAGACAGTCCGAGTCTGGCACAGCACTACATCAGGCTGCCCTCTGTGGGAAGACGGAGGTAGTACGCCTGCTGCTGGATGTAAGTCTAACTATCCGTTTAATGTGTTTACATAAGAAGCTGTTGTTAATGCTGACCTCCCTCCTATGAGCTGTGCAAATTCACACCCCAGCAACTGTCATTCATCTGACTGTGAGGAAACTGTGGGATATGTTATATTGTTATTGTTTATTACATAAAACAGTAGCAGGCTGACCAGCCTCCTGCCTGTCATCCAATATTCAAACCTGTTGTTCGGTTTTTAACCTTTTTTTTGACCTTCAGATGAACATGGATGTAAATGCCTAACCCTGCCTTTGTAAAGGGCCCATTTTAAGTGTCCCCTCTCGTCCTGCTGCGCTTCACTTTTGATGTTAATGCTCAGGCAGCGCACACAACAAACATCCCTACTGTGGAATGTTCTTTGTGACACACAATTTGATTTTGCAGCTTTAATCATTTTCCTCCTCCGCGTCACTCCAGAGCGGCATCAGTGCAGGAGTGAGAAACACTCTGAGTCAGACTGCCCTGGACATCGTTAACCAGTTCACTACCACGCAGGCCAGCCGGGAGATCAAACAGTTACTGAGAGGTGAGGCCACGAGTGCACGAGCTCGCACACCAACTCACAAATCCTTGTGTGACACATTTTTTAAACCCTCCCAGCTGGTGGCAACACCAAAAATCTGCTTTTCAAGCCATGCCCACTTTGTGAGTGTTAAAACTATTAGGAACCTGGTTTTTGTTATAAATAACAACATACTGTAAAAAGACATTTTTAAAATGAATTTATTGCTATTGACATTTAAAACAATGGCATAATGTCCATTCTTATTTTGGGATTTTCTTGTATTGATTAGACTGGCGAAATTTATTATGCTAATGATACTACCCACCAATATCACCTTCTCCGTTCTCTTCTGTCTGCACTTTATACTCTTGTGTTGTAGATGCCTCAGCTGCAATGCAGGTGCGAGCACTAAAGGATTACTGCAACAACTATGACCTTACCAGCCTCAACATCAAAGCTGGCGACATCATCACGGTATAGCTTTATAATTAAGGTTCCGCAATAAAAATATGTTTCAGCCTTTGCTGCATGTTTGCCAGTCATAATAACCTGTGTCGGTAATATCAATCTGTCTACACAGTTTAATAGTTGGGTGTTACAATGTAAGCATCACTGAGCTGAAAAGAGGTTTTGCCACACAAACTATTATTAAAAACAAATTATTATTTTTGCCAGAGCTATGGCGCTTCTTCGCTTCACTCATATAAGAAAACACAGACATCTATGTCAATTTATTATGTTATTTCTTTATTCTTCTATATTTATTGATCTTTTTTGCAAGCTACATTGTATATATGAAAAAGTAATCACTTACAGGCGCTGTTAGCGAACACCTATTTACAGATGTGCATGAAAATACATTACGTAAAGCAGATGCAATGTTGGCTTTTGTTTTGAGGTCATCTACTATATATAATATCTATAATTTAAAAGGATTTGAATTTTATAAAAATAATTCACAAAAACTATATACATGTTAAGGCAGTTTATATAGTATGTTTTGTGTTTTTAACCAGTTTTGTAGCCAACTGGCTAAAAATGGCAACGCTAAAGCCAGCCTGCTAATGTAAAAACAGTTGTGTAATGTATTATGATTGAAGAATTCAGGGTTTAGTAAGGTGGACACTTATTCCACTTTATCAAGGTGGGCACTTGATAAAACACAGTTTATCTATGATATACATGGAAAATTTTAAATTATATTTCGCAAAAATGCCTCAAACTACTAACTATGCTAATGCTAGCTAATGATAGCTAAATGACTAAATAGCATAGTGTGTTATTTCCCACTCATTTTTTTAACTACTGCCTTTTTTAAATGGAAATTTAAACAGACATTTTCTGCTCATTTCAGCTGCTAAGTCTGAAAAAGTAAAAGCAAAACAATGGTAGAAGTATTTTTATAAAGAATTAACAGCTAAATTTGTTACACTGCCATCTGAGCAGTAGCCACTATTGCCATAGTTTGAAGTTAGCTGGTAGTGTGAGGTTCAGAGCTAAAGATTTAAACTTGATATAGGTATGGTTTTAGTTTGGCTTTGCAGTCTTTGTTAAGGAAATGAAAAGTGGCTGTAATCTTTGTACGTGCACAGGTTTTAGAGCAGCACTCTGATGGCCGATGGAAAGGCTGTATTCATGACAACCGGACAGGAAATGACCGTGTGGGCTACTTCCCCTCCAACATGGTGGAAGTCATCAAGAGGGCAGGTGACCACCCGCATCACAGCTGTGTGTGTGCATGGGTGGGTGGGTGGATGTGCGTGTGAGCTTAGCAGCTGTTTCGCAGCTATAGCTGGTCATTAGTTGTAGCTAGCTGTGGCATCATCGGCCTGTTTGGGGCATACCATCTGTTTTCCCCACCCTGCCAGTCTCATTGATTGCATCAATCAAACATAGTCCTCTATCCGCAGTCGGCCCTGAATCACCCCTCTATATTTCTGCTCCTTCTGTCACCCTCCCTAATTAATAAACAAGTCCGACCCTGCTAGATTGTAATGTTTTTGTTCATATTGTTTGTTTGCCTTATTGCTGTAGTGATATTATATTTTGTTTTATAATGATATATTCCCTGTGGATATATGGATGTATTCTTTTCTCATGTTTTAAGTTTAATCAACTATTATTTTGTGCATTTTCTGATTTTTTCTGATTAGACTTTTGTTTTGTTTCAAGTTGACTGATCAGTTGTTGTTGTGTTGTTGTTGTTGTTGTTGTTGTTTTGCCCCCCCCTCCTCCTGGATTGTTGCCAGGTCACTCCCCCTCCCAGCAGTGCCACACCCTCCTCCTCCGCAGGCCCAACCCTTGCCCCATTGCCTCGGTCAACGGAAACTCATACCCCCCCTCCAAAGTCCTTCCCCTGCATCTGCCTCCCCCTCCTCCCCTTAACCCCAACACACAGTCCCTTCCTCGGTTCTCCTCATTTGGGTACGTTCCTCTCCCTATCTCTCCTCCTTCTCTGTGTACTCCTCCTCTGTCCACTGCTCCTCCTCCTCCTCCTCTCTCCACTTCTCAGGAGCAGCAAAGTCAGACAGGTACATATTGTAGTGTCACTTTAAGTCACAGATAAGAATCCTTTCTCTGCTTTTTGTCAAGAACACATAAAAAGCCTGCTGTCTATCTGCTTGTGGCAACGCTTCATCAAAGAATCAGTTCAGCCAAATAAAAAAATACTCAAAAAGGCCTAAAAAAACTGAAGCAGTCCTGTGAAAAACTAAGTACACCTCATGACTCACTTGCGTGCAGAACCATGTTTAGCAGCGATAACTTTAATAATTGTTTTTTGTGTCACTCTAGCGGCCTCGCAATCAAAGAAGAATCATTCATACCAACGGTACAGCACCATGTTTTTCTCCAAACATGGTGCTGTGCATTTTGACAAACATCTCCACCTTGATCTCACCTTTTCAGAGGACATTTTTCCAGAAGTGTTCTGGTTTGTTCATATGAACTACGCTGAAAATACTTAGCAATTTGTGCATTTATGACTGGCTGTAATACTGGTAGCTTAGCTGTAGCATTTGTAGCTGAGGGCTTCAGCTTCCCGGTAATAAGGAAATGACGTCATTTACGTAGATTACTGATTGGCAGCGCTAACTTGAAATTTCGAGTTACTTTTCTCAAAATTTTGAGTTAATAAGTCAAAATTTAGAGAAAGATAACTCGACATTTCAAGTTATAGATACTTTCTTTTTTTAGTATCAAAAACGGGCTTTCGGAGCTGTGCTCGCTTCAGAAAGTAGAGACAAGCTTTCCAAAGAAGCCTTGTTCAGACTTTGTTTAACTGTACTGTGATGAACTTTATATTTAACATGCTAACTGAGGCCTGTAGAGTCTGAGCTGTTGCATTGCACAGTCTGACCTTGGGATGAATTTGCTGGGCACACCCAAGTGCTCCAGACCAGCAAACTGCTCTTTTGTGTTTGTGTATTCATGCGAATGGACTGATTCTATATAGCCCTTTCTATCTGCTGGAGTACTCAAAGCACTCTATACAACATGCCACATTCATTCTAAGCTTTTTAGTGCTTCCTAATGAACATTCATACTCCGACGGATGCGTCAGAGAGCTACTTGGGGTTAGTATCTTGGTTAGTACTTGGCATGCAAACTGGAGGAGCCAGGGATCGAATCACTAACATTCCCATCAGTAGGTGACCTGCTCTACCTCCTGAGCTACAATCACCTGTGGAAGCAGTAATGGTGTACTTAGTTTTAAACAAGACTGCATATTGTCCCTTGAAGACTTTCTTTTTTACATAGCCATATGTGCTTGAGGCAGTTCTTCATTAAAGGATCAGTTCAATCAAATAATTATTTACAAAAAAAGGCTAACAAAGTTAGTAATTTGTCCACATATACATTTATCTAGCCCGTGTGGGTCCTAACTGACTCAAACCTTTGTTTTGTTTGGGTTTTTATGACAACTAAGGCCATGAAAGTAATGCCTCCTTTGTACATTTCTTATAATTCCAGTGAAATGACCCTTTCATTTATCTTACTCGACATGCCGTGTTTGTTATAAATAACTTGAGAGGCCGTATTCGGCATTTTTAATCAGCATTACAGTGATTAAGTAGAATCACCACACGTCACTGGATGTGTCATTCACAACAGCTTCATGGTGTTTTGACCAAAAGGGTCTGTGGGTTTCTACAAGCCTCAGGACTCCCACTATGAGTAGCATGTTTATGCACGTGAGCTGAGTGAGTGTATCTCTGCGTGTGAGTCTGTGCCTTTTACAGTGTTTAATCACAAGCTCAACACATTTACTGTATGTAGGGAACAGCAGTACACATTATTATCGCTCAGATATTGTTTCTGTTTCTGCATTTTTGCTAATACAAAGTTTTAAGTTTAAAATACTAAGACCAAAGGAGTAACAGATGTGGGGTTCTGTGTGTGTCTCTGTGTGTGTGAGACAGGTTCACGAGCTGCAGAGCTGAGTCCTCAGGGCTCTCCCACTTTGGGACAGCAGAGCAGCACCAGTGAGGACATCTGGGTGCTGCGCAAACCGCTGGCAGGTAAACTGAAAGCGTGCTTTTGTGGGGGGAAAAAAGGAAATGATGTGTGTCAGACACGTTGTGTGTGTGTAATGCTGCGCTCTACAACGTGTGTTTATGTGTGGAGGTGGCGAGCGCAGCGGCAGCGTCGGCAGCCTCGGCAGTGTTCGGTCATCGAGCAGCTTGCAGGGCTCTGGAAACACGCATGTTTTGACCACTCCTGCACCCAGTCCCCACCCCGCACCCACGCCAGGGGTCAACACCCACGGCCTTAATGCTCCCGGCCTGCATGCACAAGCAGAAGGAGTCAAGGTAAAAGACTCCTTGCATTCAGTTGTGTTTGCACACATTTCATGACGTTGCTGCTGTTTCCTTACAAAACAACACACACACACCGTTTCTGGGAAACGGCAAAACATTTCTAGGAAACAAACACAACTGTAGTTCATGTGATAACCACAGTTCTGTTTCCTGCTCAGTTTATTCTTCCGTTGGTTGTTTTTTCCTAGCAGCACACAAGGTGCATTGTGTTTGTTTGGATACAGTGTAGCAGCTGAATTCAAGTTAAGCAACTCAACTTTGTCTTATTTATCGTGTTTTTGCACCTGAGCTGTTGTCATAGGTGTACCGCTGAAACACCTCCACAGTTTGTTTGTTTTCTGCAAGTGAGGAAGTAGAATATTTGTATTTTGCATAATGTGATTCTATTAAATAGATCTTCTTAAGCATCCGAACATCCAGTCATCACTAATGCATATGGCATGTAGCCATAACAAATACAATTAAGTGCTATATTTAAGGTCCGCTGACTGAGTCACAATAAAAACTGAACTAATATTCAAGAAAATATTCCACCTTAAAAGGTGGCTGATAAGCGTGTTAAGATCAAAGGCGGCAAAAACTTCCTTTCATTTTGCTGATAAAACACCTGTGATGATGGACGTTAACCAAAACAATTGAAAACACAATTTTTGGTCTTTGTGAACCAGAGTTATTATAGTTTTGTGTTTCACTATTTCATTATGACTTTTTGTTTTTTTTAATTCGATTTTAGTTTCAGTTATTTTCCAGAGTAGATTTTCTTCGACGTGGACACGGAGGTTTGTGAATGCGATAACTCGAGAACGAAGCAACGTAGGAGCTTCAAATTGATACCATAGGAGTATCTACTAAAAATCTTAGACATGTTTGATCTCAGTGACTTTGACCTCAAGTCAAGTTTTCCGAAAATCTTCTAAATGTGATAGCGTATAAATACAGCAAGGACTTAACGAGTATGAATTGTTTGGACGGGGTTGCCTGTTCTCTCTAAGAAGAACATGGCAGCACAGGTTAGGATTGCAAAGTTCATCATCTGAACAAAGCACAAGACTTTTGGAACAATGCATTTTGGACAGATGAGACTAAAAGTGACCAAACACAGCAAATCAGCACAAACACCTCGTACCAACTGGCAGCACGGTGGTGGACAGGGAATGATTTGGGCTTCGCTTGCAGCCACAGGTTCTGGGAACCTAATAGCCACTAAGTAATCATGAACTCCTCTTTATACCAAAGTCTTCTAGAATCAAGACCATCTGTCTGACAGCTAATGCTGGGCTGATAGTGGGTCATTCAACGGGACAGTGATCCCAGGCACACAGGATACCTTAAAAAGAAAAAACACAAGGTGCAGTGGTCCAGTCAAAGTCTAGACTTCAGCCTCATTGAAATGCTGAGGTGGGACCTTAAGAGAGCTTTGCATAAATAAATGCTCACAAACCTCAAAGAAATGAAGCAACGCTATAAGAAGAGTGGGACATAATTCCTCCACAATGAAACGAGGGAGCGATAAAGTCCCACGGAAAGCGATTACTTCAAATTAATGCTGCTAAATGTGGTTGTGCAAGCCACTGAGTCATTGGGTGTTCTTGTTTTTCTACGGGACTGTATGACATTCACCCTTTGACAGCTCATTATTAATTCATGTGTTATTTTACCACACTGGAGAGTAAGTGAAGCGGAGAGAGAGAAAGGGACAAATCCAGGGAGCATGATGTGAGGGACAGGCAGATGGAGACGAAGCTGCAGGCACAGATGAACTATTAACAAAGAATCAGTCTAATATTTGATTGTAAATGCTAAATGCACTGGTTCTTGCCTCATTCACTCATTAGTACAAGATTTTTTTAAGAAAGTGCTTTCTATCTAACACCCACATTCATACTGATGAACACATCAGAGAACGTGACACCAACTACAGCTAATCAGGATGCTCAGTTATAGAGTGCTACTTGTATGTCAGCCTGCCACTATAGTAGCAGCTTTAGCAAGCATCACTGCACCACTATTTTTTAACTGCACAGTTAAAGGTAACCGGCCATGATTTTGAGTCTGATTTCAAGCTAGTTTCCCTTAAAGCTGCACTTAAATGTGTCGCCCACTGTATTAAATTACATCGACCGCATGTGGACAAGATCTAGGAAACTAATTCTTAGCATAAACATTTGTTGTGCTTTTCCTTTCTGTACATCCTGCTGTTCAGCACATACTAAAGGATATTTTAACAGTTGGTATAAAATGTGTATTTCCTGTTTTTTTAGTGTCTTGCATTTAAGAAATGTCTTGCTGGTATTTCTGCTGTACCAGAAAATTGTAGGACATACAGGAGGCAGAGTGCTGAGTACTGAGCTGAGTCACCGACCGCCTCTGGGATTTGAACGATTATGCTTGAGTAAATGTTTCTCAATGTGAGCGTGTGTGTGTACATATGAGCATATCTGTGTGTGTTTTTGTGTTTCAGCTCCTGGCCACTGTGCTGTCTCAGTCGGTAAAAGCCAAGGAGCATCTCTTGGAGCAGTCGCAGTCTGTGGAGCAGTCAGCAAGTAAGCACACACACTCATACGAACACAGCGTAGCGCGATATCGCCGTCTGTATTTGAAGTGTTCATTCGTGTCAGCTTTAATTTAAGTGTGCTGCTGCAGTGATTTAAGCACAGATGACAAAGTTTGTCTCTGCCTGCTTGAAAGGAAACGCGTGCGATCAGTTAATTTGGAAAAAAAACCTGCTTTTGTCTGTAAGTGATGACAATTAAAAATGATCAAGGCAGTGTTCACAAGTACAACAAGCGCCTCGGGGCTTGTTTTGATTGCTTATGTGAATCACTTTTTATTCTTCAGCCTGGCCCTCTAAAGACCACATGTCTGTTCATATCAGACACAAGCAGCATTTCCAGTCTCGGTCCTTTTAGAAGAGTATTTCAAGTTATTCTTCATTTCTAAAAAGCTGCTGTAAGCAGCTGGGGACATGGCTTCTTGGGATGTCATGGATTCTTTCTTGTTCTCCTGAGTCAGAGCTCTAGCTGTAGCCGCAGAGGTTTGCTTGCAATAAGCAGAATAAAAAAACTGCTCAAAGAAATTCAACAGATTACGTTAAACTACCAGCTTAAAACTATTAATTTACATATCTAACGTTCCTGTGAGCGTGAAATACATTTATTTTGCAGAGGAAACGCTTAGTTTGTCAGTTTTGATCGATTAGTATTGCAAGTGTGAAGCTAAAATGTTACGCTCTTTGTGTCTCATAGTGTAGTTATTTTGCGATACCGACACCGATACTGATGCTGATATTTGGTGATTTAAAAATGCAATGTCTTCTTTTCTTTTAGACACACAATCACAAACAGACGTCCCTGACATTTGTTATATTTATTTGTTTACACATTCTCGCTCTGCTTGGATCAGCTGCAGAGCGCCCTCTGGTGGACAAACTATGCCTTTCGCTTATCGCTTCTTTTTTCATTTTAGTTTCTCAGCCGTGATTACTGCTGGTTAATGCCAGTAAATGGCCAGTATCGATCAATAATATTGATCTTGTGTTTGAGTAAGTAGTTTTGGCTACCCAGTGATCCCTGATATCATCTCTCTGATAAAAACTAGCTGCGATACAGCACTAAAAACTGAACCATAGACAGATGTTGATGTTGTCATGCAGATTAGAGATCTCATCAGACCATCTCTTACAAAGTGAGTAATACAGATTTTAAAGAAGGAATTAAATTCACTTGGCCTTGGGTTTTTTTTTAATCAGAAACGTCTATCTTTTTATTGGAGCCTCATATTTTTACATAAAAGAATCAACATGCATAAAAAATGAGTTCTGCTAACTCCATGAAGCATGAAATAGTTGCCAGAAATGTGAAATTTGGGGGATTTTTTTGCACATATGAAATTCGATTGGTATGCTTTTCACTTCTGCTACATCAGTATTTTTGTGGACTTCATTCCTCACAGTAGCACTGCATGTGTCGGATTCAGTGCATTCAAATAACATTGATGATGTAGCGCTCTTGTATGAAAGAAGATGGACTTACAGGCGTTACAGGGTTGATATATTTGGGAAGTTTTAACTTCAGACGCATTAATTTTACAGTCAAAACTTTAATGGTTGTTGTGGATTTGAACCAGCTTATAAACCTTATTTGTTACAAGCTGTTTGCAGGTCTGCATTACAGCAGGTGAGTGTTCACTTGGGGCTACAAAGACTCGCGTAGCATTGAAGCAAATGTTCTGTATTAATGTGCACGTACAGTTCGTGGTGTAGACGCTTTCACAGTGTCTCAAGACTCCCACTTAAATTTGGGCACTTTGTAGCTGTAGCTGTTTTACTAATCTCACTTTAAAAGAAGCCCATAAATTAGCATGTTTAATCTGCTGTCATTCTACTGGTTTAAGTGTTATGTGGGAAGTGTAGTGCTAAAACAGCGCTGCCGAGCCAGCCAAGTATGAAAGCTGTTAAGAAGGGCTCCATAGGCAGTGGGAATCTGGCATGGTTTCCTTTCTCCTGCGCTTCTCCCACATAAGAATCCTTTAGATCACCACATAATATCATTTCTTGGCTTTGCAGCGTTTTGAAAAGCAAACAATTAGGAGATAAGTTACTGTTTCTGATCTTTTTTCGGTTTCTTTGAAGTACAGTTAATTTCCTAGAACAGCTGTTTAGTGATGGTAGATTTCAAAGGACCACGATTTCACATGAAGCCGTTAATTTCTTAAACAACTCAATAGAAATAATAAATAGGCGGGTGTTTTGTAAACAGCTAGCTTTAAGGTGTAATTAACAGAGAAATGAAAATTGTTGAGAGTAATGTGATTTATTCTTTGTCCTTTCTCTTTGCCTTTCTTTATCACTTAAACCTTAAGGCTCTTCCAGCAGCACGGTTCACGAGCAGCGCTCGTTTGAACGGAAGGCCGAAGAGGATGATGGGAAAGTGAGTTGTATCTTTTTTTTTTTCTTTTCTTTTTTTTCCCGGTGGATTGATTCATTCCGGTGCTTCCATTTTTCCGTTTGCTTCTGGTTCTTCTCAAGTAGCAGAAAGAACGTCTGCAATGGTGGGGTTTCAGTGGGAAACACGGTGGTTGTGTTGCACCTGAAAAGCTGGCACGCTGAGGCTGGGCATACGAGTGTGTCACCATGGAGACAGGCAGAGTGACAGACACATCGAGGAGTCAGTTGCTGTCTTGCCTTCTGTCCCTCCCCCCTTTCCCTCTCCCTTTTCCCTCCCTCCCCTGCCCTCACACCGCACTGAGACACCCACATGCTGCTGGCAGTGCTGCGTGTTCTGTGGAGCTCAGGGCTGATCTGCGTGCTGCGTCCTAGCGTTTCCTCACTGACTGACCTCACGCAGCGCTCTATAACATGTACACCGCTGAAAATATAACACATATTTACCAGTGATTTAAAGAAGATTATTTTGTTAGACCCCTAAAGGTTTATTTAACCCCAAATCCCCTGGAAGGGTGTAGTGTCACAACATCAGGTGCTTAGAGTTTTGAGATCTCTAGCACGAAGACTTCTGTCATCACTAAATACAAGGAAGGGGAATGAAGATATATTCATGTTGTGAACAGTTTGCCCAGCTCTAATTAACCAGCAGCAGAGCACGAAGTAATCCTTGTGGGGCTTTCTTTTTAGGGCCAGTCGATCTGTTTTGTTGTGTTTGTGAGTTTTTTTAAATGCCCGAGGGCTAGAATCAGCAGGCAAAGTCTCCAATCTGGCACACTGGAAAATGGAAATAGGTTATGAAAAGATTTATGTTATATAAACATATTATTGCCTTGAAACCAGTAATGTTGTATATAGTTATTCTGAAACTGAGGGCCCATTATTATAACTGGCTCATTGGTCTAGGGGTATGATTCTCGCTTCGGGTGCGAGAGGTCCCGGGTTCAACTCCCGGATGAGCCCTCATTTAATCCACCCACAAACCAGGTACTGGTACCCAAGTCCAGATCAACAGGGAGGGCTATGTGAAATATTTGCAAGGTTAAACATTAAATTTTCATACTAGATGCAGGTCTGGTTTAACGATGGTCACTGAAGATGAAAAAAATGAAGGAAATCTCATAAAGATGTTTTTGGCAAAAGGTTAGAAGGGTGAGTAAAATTGAAGGCTTACAGGGAAGTAGTGAGACCCGCTGTGACGTATAACGTGGATAACAAAAAGACAGGTGCCAGACTTCAAGGTTTTTGACCAGAATGGAGGGGGCCAGCTCAGGTTGATCATCTTGGAGCCAAAGATAGAGAGACAAGGCTGAGATAGTGGGTATGTTGGACAAAGGATGTCGAAGATGGAGCTGCCAGGCAGGAGGAAAGGGGAAGGAACACAGAGTAAGTTCATGGATGAGGTGAAGAAGGACATGAGGGGGGTTAGGGTGACACAGAATGCTAAGGACAGGGTGAGATGATTCAGTGTGGCGACCCCTAAAGGGAACCACATATTTGTATGAGTATAATTTGCTTACTGAAGATATGCTTTTATGTATTTCTATTTGTTAATTGACCTGCCTGGGGACAGTGTTTTGCCCTGTAGTGCTCTGCAACAGTCATGTGACTGAAAAGTATGAATTGAGATGATGGTGGGATGTAGCTCAGTGGCAGAGATCTCAAAACGTAAGAGGCTAATTAACACTAGGAGCAAGCAGGCATCTTATATTTGCACTTACTTTGTAATCTGTTATCCAGAATGTGTCTTACTCTTTGTACAAACCCTAGAGGATAACCAAGAGCACTGTGTGGGAGTGAAACATTATTTGGAAAAACTATTATTATTATTATTATTCCTGACAGTCTTGAAGTCATTTCAGGCAGAGTTTGAATAATTGGAGGGATTATTCTTATGTTTTATTCCCTTTTTAGTTAGAACGGCTCCCCTTCATGTGTTCCAGAGTAGGTTCTCTTTCCTTGCTGGCTAGGGCTCCGGTTGGGAATTTCCTTAGATGTTTCTGTGCTGTCTTCTAGAACAGTCCTCTCTCCTATGTTGTAGAGCGGGCTCTAGAAGAGGCCTGTGGACTCTTCTAGAAGCAGGCAGTAGCGCTCTGTGTTCTCTGTTCTAGAAGCAGGCAGTAGTGGCGTGGCTGGGTGAGTTTCAGCTGCAGTTCTACACCACCCACTTCCTCACCGCGGGATATGATCTAGACACCATTAGCCGCATGACCCCTGAGGTAAGGTCATGACCCCTGACCCCCTCACGTCCCGCCCCTTGTCTGTCAAGGCTCCGCCCAGCACAGCTATCAAAAATCAGCTCCCCACTGACCTGGATGATGTCATCATGACCCTCCTGTCTCTGTCACCTGACCCCCCGGTGTGAGTCCTAAGCCTCAACCAGTCACTTCTCATGCTCCGTCTGCTTCATTTACATACCTGTGTTCACACATGGCCGCGTGTTCCAGTCTGTGCTGTAAACACTACTCTGTGTTTGTCCTTGAATGTGGTTTTTAATGTGATTGTGTGTGTGTATGTGTGCGCTGAAGCAAACACAGTGCTATGATGTAAACGTCCCCAAAGGACAGGCGACACTCATCAGAGATTATCCAAAGCCAAAATATTCCCGAAGGCATATCACGTGTGCAAATGTCCGAGTTGCCTGTAAAAACTGCTCACATTTGAATAGAAATGAAAATAAAAACACCTCCAGTAGAGGTGGTGAGTTCATGATGTGACTGAGTGTGCTTTGCATTGAAGGATCTGACGGCAATTGGGGTCATGAAGCCCGGACATCGAAAGAAGTTAATATCAGAGATCAGCAAGCTGCCCTCCACAGACTGGCTGCCCGACCACAAGCCTGTAAGGATGTTAGCTGCTGCATACAATCTAGAATAAGGAGGTCGGACGAACACAAGAGCACAGACGCATCCAGCTCACGCAGCATCATAACTGTGCCTGTGTCTGTCTGTCTTTGTTTTAATCAAGGCTAATCTGGCAGACTGGCTGTCTCACCTGGGCCTTAGTCAGTACTACCAGGTACTCGTGCAGAATGGTTATGAGAACATTGACTTTGTCTCGGACATCAGCCTTGAAGATCTGCGAGAGATTGGCATCACTAAGCTCGGTAAGATAAAATGTCATTATTAAGATTATAGGCAATATATTATAACACAAGTTCTATAGAAAAGTGCGACCCTTCATTAGGAAGCCGGGTTCCTGTTAGTCGCTCTTAGTGTCTTTGTTCTGTGTTTGTTGTTTAGAAATTGCGTAGATATTGAATTGGCTAAAATGTGTCGAAGCGCATTTCAAGCTGTTCTCTATAATCACGTGTAACCATTTGTGTGTGAGAGATACAAGAATTTAATGTGAACAAACGTATAAACGCATCACAGAGGGAACGTTGAGATTCAAATGAACCAATAAAGCGATAACAGACGATTATGCGCCACATCATCCTCAGCCTGTTAAGTGTCTATTGTTTGCACCTGGTGAAGACGCTCTGTGTGACTCATTGTAACCAGCTGTCAAAACAAATGTAAAAATCGTCTCGGCACTGCTCTCGCTGCCAATCTGTAAATCGTATCTACCTCCTTTAAAAAATGTGACAGTGCCAAGAAGTAGCTCCACAAAATTTGTGTTTTTAGTGTGAAAAATGTGGTCAGTGAAGAAAGATAAAAACAGAGGTTGCTTCTGCTTGTCTCCAAAAATCCTTTATCAAATTATAATGGAAGTCTATTGAACAGTTAAATGCCACTCCTCTCACTCGAATGCCTACAGATCAAAAAGTCTATATCTGCTGGCTTTCAGGAAGACACTGTTGGAAAGAAGATGGATTTTCCTGTTTGAGCGCGCAGGCAGGTTGAAGAGAAATCCTACCAGATAGAATTTTTGTGCATCTTCCACTCTGTCGGTTAATTAGTCCAGTCTAGTAGAGATTTTTGCCAGTTTTCTTGCTGTAATCTACAGCTTTCAGCATATACAAGCAAAAAAACAACTTTTCTACAATGCAAGATATTATTTTAATAATAAAATAAATTATTAAACAAAAGTTTGAGGGGTGGCTCGAGACTTTTACATATGACAAAACAAGATAACAGGACTTCAACCTCTTCTCTGTAATTTGCCTCTTAACTGCAGTGATCCTTTGCTCATACCGAGGCTGCTGGCTTGTGGCTGGCTCTGAGCTCTGTGTGAGGTTGATTTAAATGTCTGAGCAAGTTGGATGTTACAAGTGTTTTTGTGGTTTAGTTTGTCAAAAACCGTGAAGAGCTTCCGCACTAACGCCATGTTTGCGTGTGGCTGCCAGCGTGCACATGAGCCAGTCATTTTAATGTTTAGACGTTTCAAACGGTGCAGGGCAGGATATGAACCAGAATTATGCTACTGGAAGAATTTGGACATAACATAGAGTGGGAGTGCTGCTTAGCAACGGTCCCACCAATAACACAATAACTTTTGCAAGCCAAGCGATTAATTTATTTATGAAATTCCAATGCTGCAAGGACAATATGTATAATGCTTACCATGTATTAAAGAACAGTATCCTGAAATGCAGCAAATTCAAATTGCTGGATTGGCGGACAGAGGCGGTTTCTTGCAAGTTAAGTAGATTTTTTTTAAGGCGCAAAAGTATGACATCACAACAATGTCATTGGTCACTTGCAATGTTGAACCTGGAACAACATTTATTATGATGATGTGGGAACAACACGAGGATATCAGATCCTACTTGGATAATACTGTTAAAAAACAAAACAAACCTATACAGAGATGTAATTATTATTCAACTTTTTGGTGGGGAGAATTGTTCCAAAACCTTGTTAGTTTTAATCTGCATGACTAGCGCAGAATGAGGTTGCCATTAAAGATTTGCAGTTTTCAAGAAAATGTAAATTTGTATTTCATGGTGGCTTTTATGCAGAAATGCCACTCTCTCCTAGCTTTGCAGTGTAAATATAGCTTATTCTCTTCTCACAATCCTCTGTTTTGCCCCGCACTCCTGCCCCCCCCCTCAGGTCATCAGAAGAAGATAATGTTGGGAGTGAAGCGGCTGAAGGAGCTTCAGAGAGGAGAAAGTGGCTCCGAGCCTCCTCAGAGCCCCTCTACACCTCCATCCAGCCCAGGCGGCAGCACTACATCAGAGCTGCGGAAAGAGGCGAGGAAGCAGAGGGACGGGGTGCCCAGCCCTCGGGCCAAACCTCGCCCAGGTCTCGCACATACACAGACCCCTCCCCACACACCGACTCAAACCCCACCGCAAACGCCCCCGCACACTCGGACCCAGCAGGCTTCCCCCAGGGCTCGGCCGCGGCCATCCACCCAGCAGTCGACAGCAGACTCGGCAGTACCTCTGTTGAGGCTGCCCAACGTGGAGGAAGAGCGACGGAGAACTCACAGTCTAATTGGCTCAGAATCAGACTCTAGATATGCCACCGTGTGCCGCAGCAGCTCTTCACATACCGCTGCCGCTAATGATGTCACTGTTAACCGCAGCCAATCATCTGTTACCCTTCGCCCCCGTAGGAAAGGTCGGCCCCCAACACCTCCTAAACGGTCCTGTTCTTCCATTACCGGGGGTGACGGGGAGGGCGAGGGGCAGGTGGAGGGACTGCTCGGGCTGCCAACCTATCGAGAGCGGCGAGCTAGTGACTGTGGCAGCCTGGGAGCTGCTTTAAGGGCTCAGGAGTCAGCAGGCTTGGAGAGGTCAGACGGAGCTTCTGGGAGTGTTCGCAGCCTCGCGGCCATGCTGGAAACATCCATCGTGAGTGGAACCAAAACGCTGCCGAAGAATCTGGGAAGCAGCACGAACTACCTGCAGGTGGGTGACAGTGACTGTGAGAGTCAAATGTATGAGTTTTTTGGGCTACATGTCTAACAGTGATGTGATCTGCAGGCGAGTCCGCCGCTTCTTCGTCGCCAGGCAGGCGCAGGAGGTCTCGCATCTGAAGAAGATGATGTTTTAAATCGCCGCAGGACCATCAGTGGACCCGAAGGCCTCCCTGGAGATCAGTCTGACCAATTACCTCAGCAACCGGTCCCGCGACGCCCCGAGCCTCGGCCCCGCTCCACCGTGCTCACCTCAGCATCAGAGATCACAGACGGCACAGCGACGCTCCGGAGGAAGCCGCGTCCTGTGGCCGCGGACTCTGAAGCTCCTGCATCTGTGTCTACCACGGTTGTTACCACGACTACTGGCTCTGACACCATACGCAGGAGGCCACGCACGACTGAGCACACGGAGCATCTCATTCAAAGCAATAACCAATCAGATTCTCCTATCAGTCAAATAGATAGCTGCCGTAAAATTGAAAGCGAGCCGCAGCAGAACGGCGGCGTGATCCTGAGGCGGAGGCCGGTGTCTGAGATCTCCGAGAGGACGGAGACCAACAAGGAGAGCTGTGAGTGGATGGAAGCTAGGAAGTCTCTGAAGCCACCAGTTTCACCCAAACCATCCACTGTCACCCTGAAGAAGCCGCAAGCTGACCCCCCGACTCCGACTCGTAGGGTCCCCATACCCGGGCCTGACACTGCTGAGCTGGCCCAGAGTCCCGGTGAGACACACACACAACACATGGTCACTGAATTTAACTTCTGTGTCAGAAAATCAAAATCCTATACTTAGGGCGTTTAAATATTTATTAATTTCTGCCTTTATTTGGTGGAGAAAGTGGAAACAGAGACAGAAAAGAAGAACACGCAACTCCCCCCATAAAACCTTTGATGTTTTATGATGTTTTATTACAACATGCTGACATCAGCCTGTTATGGCGTCATCTTATGTTGATGACGTACGGTGTCGTATTGAACAAACAAAAAGTGCATTGTATAGCTCCCTCAATGGCCTTTCATATTATACAATACTGGATATGGTTTCGTGAAACCTTTTGACCTTGGGCACTAACAATGAAAGTCAAGGTCAAATCACAAAAACAGTCGCCTCAAGGAGCTTTGTATTATATGTTAAAGACTCTACAATCCAACAGAAAAATCCCAACAATCAGACGACCCCCTATGAGCAAACATTTGGCGAGAGTAGGGAAGAAAAACTCCCATTTCACAGGAAGAACCAAAAAAACGGATGGGACCATTTTTCTTCTCTTCTAAACTCAGACACATACAGCTCACTACCCACATGTTTAATAAAATATAGTTAATATTAATTAACTTGGCTTATAACACACATTGCATAGTTGAGTACAGCAAATATAAAAGGTCCTATTATATTATTTTCCGTGTTACCTTAATTTAAATATCATTAACATCTGTTCATATTCATGACAAACATTGTTTTTAAATTAATGTCATTTAATCCAAAGACATCCTGCTTTATGTGTAGCCTTGTACTCTGCATGAAATCAGTGATTAGTAAAAGAGTTAGAATTCATCACATGCGGTGGCTCCATAAGCGTTTACAGTTGTTATCCCTCGCTGTGTTCAGAAGTGCTCTTTTACACTCCAGTGGTTATTTGAGTTACTGTTGACTTCCTGTCAACTCAGAGCACTCTGGCCATTCTCCTCCCACCTGTGACATCAACAAAGCTTTTTCACCTAGAGAACTGCAGCTGGCTAGATATTTTCCCTTAAACCATAGAGATGGTTGTGTGGGGAAAATCCCAGCAGCTTCTGAAGTCATCAGACCTGCCCGACAAGCACCAACAAACAAACATCCCACATCAAAAGCCACTTAAATCTTCTTTCTTTCTCTTTTCTGCTCAGTTTGAAGTTGAGCAGGTCGTGCTGAGCATTTCAGGACATGATTTGCTGCCACTCGATTAGCTGACGCTTTTGGTCACACACAGGTCAAAACCTCATTAAGTCATTCAGTATTAAAAACTGAAATGTTTCTGTTGCTCTGTAAATTCAAAACCAGGCAAGTAAACTATGCCAGGAAACAAAGGTGCTCAAAGACTAAAACATTTTTAAAAAATCAATAATCGATAACAGCAGTCTCTTTGTTTTGATTCTTCAGAGAAATAGATATCATCTATGTGAGAAAAATGACGTCGTTCTTTGTGATTCTCTCTGAGCAGAGTCGAAGCGTGTCCCTCCCCCCGTGTCCCCGAAGCCGCGTGGGCCTCCGACAGCACCTAAACCTGGCAAAGCAATAGTAGCTTCAGCAACCATGAGCCCGAGCCCCGCCGCTACCAGCCCGGCTGCAGCCAGCCCCACCCCGGCCCCCAAACCCTCCTCTCCGCTCTCTGCCGCCCCTCTTCCAGCCCCCGACACCCCCTCCGCTCCCTGCCTCTCACCCGGGCTCCCTCTCACTTCCCCTTCTCCAGCCCAGAGTCCGTCCACTCCCTCACCGCACCCCGTCAAACCTCCACGCTCCTCGATCACCGGTCTCTCCATCGACCTGTTGGGCTTGCGGGAAGTGGAGGAGGAAGAGGATAGGAGGCGAGATGAAGAGGAAAGGAGGAGAGAGCGAGAGCACAGGAGGCACAAAGAGCAGGAAGAGGAGAGAAGCAGAGCCGAGGACGGGGCTTTGAAGGAGCTGGAGAGGAAGTCCTCAAAGAGCGACAGTGTGGAGAATCGAGCAGGGGAAGGAGAGCAGGAGGGAGAGGTTCAGCATCGGCTGGAGGAGACCAGCGCCTCTTTGGCTGCAGCTCTGGAGGCTGTGGAGCATCAGATCAAAGAGGAGGACACACAAAATGAGTGAGTACTAGAAGCAAATCTCATTTTCCCACTGAAAGGAGATTTATATTCATCGGGACTGCATGTTGGCACCCAACCTAATGACAAAGGGATTAGATCATAAATAACTTGACGCGGTGTAGAGCTGCAAATTGAGACAGCTTATTACAGGCTTCAGTGTAATGGAAGTGCTAGTGCTGTACAGAAAGGACTCCCGAGGCTCGTGTTGACATCAAACTCAAGATTGTGAGAAATATACACACACTCCTGGTTTGAGTATAGACAGTACAAAACATGGATGTAGCCATTGATCTTAAGTGGGCCCAACCAGTGAAACTCCCTTTTCTGCCAGGTTAAAGATATTTAATCCCTGACATATCTTGATACAGGAAAAAGAAGTGAAACTTCAGCAGCTTTTTACATGATAAATGTGTAAAAAAACAGAAAATCTTCTGGTAAGATGCTCAGATTGTCAAACCTTACATTTGACAGCCCTGATCTATGGGTTTGAAGTTTTGTTTGATCTCCTGTGAAAACCAAAACAGGAAGGGGATATATGTTTTTCCCCATTAGCTATCAGCAGTTATTCCAGTGCAGCTGAAAAGGCAAAGAAGGAGAAGGATATAAAGCAGCACTTTTATTCTAATCCAATGAGTTGCTTTAAAACAGCGATCCAAATTTGTTTTTGTTTAATATCATCAACTCATTCCCCCTCAGTTGATCAACTCAGTGGAGTGGAGGAATTCAAAAATCTGGACCCAGCCAGGGTTTGCTTGTGCGTATGGGTATGTTTGTCGCGCACGCAAACGGACGATGAAATTGCATTTCCTGCGGCTGCTTCACAAACAAAGCCGTGCCGCGTTTTGATCGCAATGATTTAAATGCAAAGCAGCGGCCGTGGTAAACATTCCCTTTGTTTTAAAAACAGCTCTGTGATTCACTGTAAGGAAAGTGAACAGCAAAGCAGTGAGGCTGTCAGGAAGAAGACCAAAAACAGTGCAAGGGGATTACACGCTGCGAGTCCACTCGGGGAGGCGTCGTGAATCCAAGAATTGCCGACTGCACCACTATCAATAATGACAGGACAACAAAGCTAGAAGGTTGCTGTTAGATATAACAGGGCATCGAATAGCTAAGTAGCCAAATGGGTTTTGGAATTCATGGAGACAAACTATTAGAAGGAAAACAAACTTGCTGGGTGGAAAAAAAATCAAATATTACCAGCTGAAACTATCCAAATGACTCCTCTGGCATCTTTAGCTGCTTCAACTAGAGGTGGGCGTAGTAGTATCGATCCGACACTGGTATTGGTATTGGATCAATACTATCAGGGTAAGATACTTTGCTTCTATCCTCTAAGTTAAGTATGTAGCTCAGTGAACTGTGTTAAATTAATTATTTTGGGGGAAATGAAAAATATTCCTCAGACATGCACTTTGAAAAATGTCTCAACCTTTTTGTGTTGACTGTCAGGTCTGTTTTATTTATAGCCTATAGCTCATTTAAATCGTTAAATTAGTGATCAGCAAAGTGTGTTCAGAATTTGCAAACTGATGATGACTCACCTCATGAATCATGACACACTACTCTAAGTTAAAAGTATTATGTATAATTGAAAGCATTAGTGTTGATGCTGGTATCGGTAATACCGGCCCTGTATTCACAAGTGAATAAGCACAACACAGAACAAGCTTAAACACATGAACTTTGGACAGTTTTGGGAGAATTAGGTCAGGAGTGTCTGACATGCAGCATGCAACAGGAAGTAATCTGCTTCACACACATTCACACCTCTGGATATATCTCCACGTGGTTTTATGTGAGGGTGCTTGCAAGAAGCAGCACTGGTAAATGCTGCAGACAGTTTGCACAACCACTTAATCCAACATCGCACGGAATTTATACTCAGGAGCTGGAATGTTAGCTGGTCTAAGTCCTTATATGTGGAAATGAGACCTTAACCCTGTATTTTGAAAGAAATGTGAAAAACCTTTGCTATGATCTATTTCTTTGTTCCCTGACTGCCAAAACTTTATCTTGAACTTAAAATTTGAACAAAAACAAACAAACAAAATATACATATTCTTATTGCCTGGGGTTAGAGGTCATCACCGGTGACAACTTAGGTCACAGAAGGTCATTCAAAGTAGCTAATGTGCGATCAGTGTTAGATATTTGCATCCTCTCAAATCCCTCCACTTTCCATCTCTGATTCTTTGCTGTATGCCTCAGCACTAACCGAACCCTTCTTTTATTCTCGCCCAACTTCCAGCTCTCTCTCCGGAAAAAAAGCAACAGTCTCCATCTTGGACGACATTGGCAGCATGTTTGACGACTTGGCAGACCAACTGGATGCGATGCTGGACTGATCTGCTGCACGCATCTCATTTTCCTACAAGCCCTTTCCCTCGCCTCCCCCCTCATCATGCGTAGGTGTAAGAAAACTCTCCCG